AAAGCTGCCTTAAAATCATTAACGACTTTTAGCAGATGTGATTTTCAATCTACTCAGCAGTCTTTGGTTAGTTTTAATTAGAGCAAGATTTTAAAATTGCAGTTGAGGAAAGGTTCCAACATGTCCCGATCATCCAGTGAAATTCGCAATGAACATAAGTAATCCTCAAGCAAAATTAGTACGCCGTTTTACAAAGAGCACTGCTTCAAAATAACCTTCCTCACAGAAATGCATATTATTTCTATCGTGTGTTTCTAGTTCACAAACTAACTGTTAAGGTGGTCTATTATTGATCGAGAAACTCAGTTATCTCATATAATTTAATCATTCATTCATTTTCATATTTCAGATTGATCGACCACGCAACTATTCAAAAATTGATGACTTGAACCGATAAAACTACAATTTCCAGATAAGCTGACAACTGAAAACTAAGTTTTCACCAGTCATTTCAGATAAAAAGTTTTTTTTTTTGTAAAGTAATCTAGTTTATATGTAGGGTTATAAAAAAAATAAGATTATTCCATTCTCTATCTGTCATTGACAATCACTATAAATTATCAGCATGCCGAAAATAAAAAGGCTTAAGATGCATAGAATTTAATTTCGTTTAATCACGTTATCACAATATGGATAATTTTTTTTGTTGTGTTCCTCTTTGGCAATGCTAAAAAGCCCAAACATAAGTTATATCATACGATCTATAAATCTAGACACTTTCAATACAAGCCTTACTTTAACGAAACAAAATGTCCTCATTATGGTGATATGAATCGAAAACTGAATGACGCAGCTCAACATTAATCATTATGTGATGTTATATACATGCGTTAGAAAACAAATCTGATAAAGCAATTTAGACAAGACAATTTAGATTGATGCAAAATTCTATAGAACAATAACTTGAATTCACTCTGTTAAAAGAAAATATATCTTCTTTATATGGAAATTTTTATGCAAAGAGAATTCATAATCGTACTTACAGTAATATTATACGGAATATTACATGTTATAAAACAGTTATTAAATGTATGCTTAATTGTTTACAATTGTATTTAATTTTATTTCCACTGATTTTGAAGATTAGATGTTTAAAATTAAAAACCTCTTAATACATCATCAGTAAAATTAGAGAAGTAAGAGTGATTGTAAACAAAACTATAATCAGTTCATTTTCAGTAAAAATAAATACAAACTGAAAGAAAGAAAAAACTAACTAGTTTCATTTAAACTCCACTTATGCAAGATAACTTATTCATATTAAAAAATAAATATGAATGACGATTATTTTTATTACGGGTTTGTGAAGATTGTTAAGTTACACATTTTGAATTGATCAAGTTTGACAATCACACCGAAAGATACCGGCTCAGGGGTCCAGAGGTTAGGCGTTCGCGCACAATACCGAAGGTCACAGGTTCGAATCCTGCGAGGTGCAGGAATCGTTGATGCGCATTGCTGATGAGTCCCATACCAGGACGAAACGGCCGTCTCTCAGTGCTTCCAGGTCTCTAATGTTGTTCTTACAATGATTGATTGATGATTTCAAATGTGTAAAAACACAAATCTCCAAATCTCTAACTGAAAATAATCATTATTATGTAAGAATGGATATTCCTTGTCTGTAGTTTATCTATGACATTGCTCAGACGAAACTGAATTCTATTCAGTCCACCGATAGAGAAACTGAATAGATGATGTAACTCTGGAAATCTCACAGATTACAAACTATTGTGTTTTAATCTTTAGTTTTTCATCACAGCTATAATTTTTCCAAGTGAGCAAAGCATTTTAGGTTGACAGTGAGAGAGAGTCTGAATAAATTGTCAGTAGTATCACTTTAAATAACAATTTTCTTCGACTTTTGACTAAAAACTAAAAAAAATCAAACCAGTTTAAATATTTGTCATGACTGAAATCGAGACCGAATCAACTATTATCTTTCATATTTGAAACAATCGTATTTGTAATTATGATCATGACATCTGAAAGACCATCTGATCGTAAGGATTCACCCTATTGAGTAGCATTTTGTGTCGCCGGCGTCCTTGATCCTCGCTCTCGTATGTTCCACTAGGTACACTTGCAGTAGTTCAAGTATATCAAGTTGACGTGTTTACGTGTAGGCGTAACACGTATAACATCACTTCAATGTAGATCAAAAAGTAATCATAGTTATCGATTATCCCAGTAGAATTACAGCAAATCCAACTACATAATTGATAACCAATAATTTTTATCTGTTAAAAAGTCAGTCATACATCTGGGTGCAATACACAATAAAAAAACACTACAAGAATATAAAATTTCTTTATGTTCACTTATTACAGCATTCAACTACTTTTATGTAATATGTGTACCAAGTCGAAACAGACTGACGTAATTTGTAGGCATATCTATACAAAAAAGTATCCTAGTGTATTTGCAAATAAGCTGAAGAAGCTGTAAGCTACAAATTGACAGAGAAAAAACTTTCTTTGTTATCAAATACCAAATAACATCATTTTGTAAAACTTTCTTTTTTACTGAACAGAAAAATATGTACAACATGTTGTGTGTAACTCTTTTCTATCCTTTTTTTTCCAATATAGCAATTTCAGATGAGGTTTTCGATGTTGTTCTGAGAGAATTTAACAGATTAATCAGTGTATTCATTCGTATGTGTTTAAAATATATTTATTGACTTATTCAAAAACAGATGTACGACCTCTATCTATGAAACGTGTAGTAATCGTAAATTGAAAATGTATCTTAACACAAGTCTAAAATTATGTAGCACGATTAAATTGCCTTTTAAGTTAACGCATTAAAAAACTTGTTTTTGTGAATTGAGTTTTTGCATTATGGGGTTGTGAAGATTGTTAAGTTACACATTTGCAATCATGCATTGATCAATGTTAGACCATCATTAGAAACCTGGAAGCACTGGACGGCCGTTTCGTCCTGGTATGGGACTCATCAGCGCAGGATCGTAGGTCCTGTGTTCGAATCCCGCAGGGTTCAGGAATCGTGGATGCGCATTGCTGATGAATCCCGAACCAGGACGAAACGGCCTTCCAGTAATTCCAGGTTTCTAATGATGATCTAACATTGATCGATTAATGGTTTCAAAATGTGTAATTATTTTTGTATTGCTTATCCAATGTTAATATTCGATTCTTATTACTCGAGATAAATCTTCTAGTAAATCAGACAATTCAGGACAACAAGCTTTGCCATATGAAGTCGATAAGGTACTTTTTCATAGCATACCTGCTTACTATGACATTCAGAGATCTATTCAATGAAAATAAGTCTTAACTAGGCTGAAGAGATGTACAATGATAGTGAAATACAAGAAATTCAGTTTAACAATCTTAGTCTAAACATAAATTTACTTACGAGGCAGATTATGATTTTTTTCCATTACAGTATGACAAGTTAAAAAGTCCTTTGGGTATAACATGACATAACATGACTGACACTGTAAGTAAATTGTCAAATAAGAATAAATAAATATATAAAAGAGAATATTTTTATCCATTCACCTGTCAGACATGAAATGTTTTTCAAAAGGAAAAGGTATATTCAAATAGACAAGTTATTTTAAGACATTACATATTCTAATCACTCAAATAACATTTAAATAACATTTATAAAATGAAAAGGCAATTTCAAATCAATGTAATAGTAACTTCTAGTTTGAGTAGTATTAGATGCTCACTGGTGAGTATGGACAATGTTAAAAGGTTTATTACTTTTGTACAATATTAAATAAATCTACATCAATAGCAAACAAATAGCAGCTATTTATGTAGTTGGTTCGCAATAACTTATTTCATCCTTGATCACATTTCTGAATGAAGTCAGATGATTATTATGAAATTAAAAAAAAATTAACATGTATAATATAATTACATTTTGATTTTTTTTAAATATTTTAATAATATGATTATCATAATTAAATCTTTCATCATTTATTCACCATGAAGCTTCGTTCATTTAAAAATCAATAATTCAATGTCATCATTCTGCAATATATTATAACTTGAATGAATTTTCGCTCAACAAATCAATCAAAATAAAAGTTAATCTTCTTTTAGTCTGCCAGTAGCACAAATTTTATGAATACAGTTTAATTGATTTGATGATGATCATTAAAGTAACCAAATGAACGTTTACTCAATTTAAGCTTCTATAATCTATTTGCGAATTCTTTCAGTTCAAAGTTAGTAAGTACACAACATCTCTAACGTGTAGTGGTTAATTTAACTGTTCGCTTAATAGACTGATTAGAAAATAACTGCATTCAATTATAATTAAAGTCAACAACGATTTCTCGATTATGAAATGACAGGTACGAAATTATAAAATAAAGTTTTTAAAACAGTTCTCTAACATCATACATAATAAGTAATTGTGATATTACTACTTAGGAGTAGTCTAGACAATTGGTACTCGATTGAATCAGATAATATTATACAATTAAACCAAAAAAATATTTTTTACGAACATTAACCATATGTACTACACTAGGAAGTTGATTGAGATTGTTAAATTTCATGTAATCCATTAAACACTCCTTTCCCTTTACAGTTTTATTGACCATCAACTCACGAATGACTGGTTTTGAGAATGAGTTCAAAAGTTCTAGTGGTAAGTCGTACCAAGTGTAGTTCAACGATGACGCTTGAGTGACAGCTGGTAAATCATTATGAAATACAGGTCATCCAATGACTGAATCTAGAAATCGGAACTATAAGATCTCAACCAAACGGAGCCTATTGACTTTAGGTTGAATTCCTGGTAGAATCGTGAATGCTCACTTTTGAGCAGTCTCAAATTACAATGAAATAACAGTCTACTACTTCTTGGTTTATAATAATTGTATAACAAAGATTAATTCATGGTATAAATCAATTCTTATATCCGTTTAATAACCTTAGCACTGATAATCGTATTTTACATAGGAACACTGAACATTTAAACATTTAAAACAAAAAATTTTAAAATACACTCACATTGAAGATTCATGTCCAATCGTATGAGTTATAAACTAATTTAATTTAATAATATTATGCAATACAAACTTCTGAAAATCTTGAATACACACAAAAATATTGCGGACAATAAAATCCATCATGTTGATAAAATATATTCTCTGCTTAGATTTGTCAACTGTAGTCAAAAATTACTTTGTCTGCAAAATGAAAGCTATTATGACATAGTTTTACAATACGATATTTTTTAAATTTATGAATAATATATTCCATTTCTATTAGTTTTTAAAAATAGATGATATGATTTCTTACACCTCTAGAATTTTACTATTATTACTTGACCTGTTGAATGTTCCATTTATCGGTCCTGATTAATTCAATGACTTTTTTTCGCACAATTTACTCTAGTTACTTGAATTATTTCCAGTTGTGTAATGAAAAACAAGTTTTTGAATCATTTCACTATGCACATAAAGTTTTCATCAAGAATTAATCAGTGAATTACGAAAAGCATTCATTGTAGTTATTTGAGTAATGCAAATCCCAACTGACTGACTGGTTAATCATAGAAATTGGTGGACTATGCAAATAATCAATAAATCGTATTTTTAGTAATCTTTTTGTATTCCAAAGAATATTCCTGATTATGAAAATTAATTATAAATTGATAGAGTTTTTCTAAATGATAATTTTATACTTTTCACAATACAACAATTTGTTAACTGACCTAAAAAAATGTATTACTTTTGTGTTGACCAATCATCGTTCAATGTGTGTTCTTTAATGTGTCAGTAATTATTTTCTTTCTTTTTTAATAGAATGAAGGTAAATTACAAACATCTTGAAAGTAAACAAAGTTAATAGCAAATGTTTTATCGTCTTAATCTAAGCTTAAAAATAATATTAGGTAAGGGATGATATTAATTCAAAATGGACCTGTATGATCCATTTTGAAAGCTTTTTTTGTGAAAATGCCTCCATATATACATTTGTAATTCGTCTTTATTGATTCCTTCAGTTGTACATTTTGTTAGTTTGTTCAATTCCGTTTGAGATGATAATATTTGTATTTTATTATAGTTTCTATTTCTTCTGTTTTTACTGAGTTTCTATGTTTCTTTCTGAACTGCATTTATATTGTTTAAGCTGATACTTAGTCATGGCGGCAGCCATATTGATTTGTTCCTCTTTTGATTTTGTCGCTTGCATTGACTGGAATTGTGCATTTTGATTGTGAATTGAAGCACCCTTCCAGATTAAGATGCACTCTGTGTTATAAAGCAACCATATGTTATCTGTTGAGTGAATCTGATCTATCCAGGAGGGATAGAATATCAGTTATCTGTTGCTTTTGATTCGACTAATTGAACAACTGTTGGCGGAATAAGTGAGTGGTAATATTTGTTTAGGTAATAATGTATATTTATATTTATGATGAATATTAGAACCGCTATTTACTCAAATCACGTGTTTTAGATTTTAAACTGGGTAAGGTGCGTATCTAACCTACCTAGACAGTTATTCCTCAGTTCAAACCTCAGTTTGGATCTTACAGACCAGTTGAATAAGGAAGACAGTCCCAGCTTTAGTAAGAATTTTACTGTTACTTCTAGGAACAAAACACCTAAACGGTGATTACATATTATAATCAAGAAACTAAGTTAACTTCGGTGAAGAAAAAAAATGGTTAAGATAATGATACTTTGTTGAAATATCAAACTTCACCTTATAATGTTTTCAAATAATTATATTTATGTATTTACAAAAATGTATTGTTGTAAAATAATCTGCGTATGTCAAAGATGTTCCTTCATCAGAAATGTTTGAAAATCAAAGACCATTAGGTTGCTATTTCGTCTCAGATTAAGGCTCACTCTTCCGTAATGCACACCTACGATTGGAAAAAATCTATCGGAGCTATGATCTTTAGAGTTCGCACTAAGTACAACGCTGCTAAACCATTGAGTAAAACTTTAATGATATATTTTGTTATACTATATGACACATTGACTGACAGCAAAAACTGAAGACTGTTGTGTATCGACAAATTGATTTCAACTAATTGTATGATAATAAAAAATTATTATCAGTGTTTTTTTTTTGGTTTTTAGTTACTGTTTAGCTAAACATTCAGTGTTTACAATACATAAACAAAATATGAATCCTTTCAGTTAATCTGTTCTTACGTGTACTTGAAAGTAGGACGTAATTACAGTAAGAACATAAAAATAAAAAAAGATCTGTTGGAAGTTAGAATTTAGAATTTTTCACAAACTAAACATTCAAATAATGATGGGTCTGAAATACTTAAGTTGCATTTCGAATGGTAAAAATAATCAGAATAAATTTCCGCAACTTTGTCAAGATCTCAATTTCATTGAACTGAAATCTATTTAAAAAATCAGTGACTTATAGCCTATAAATCAAAAAAATTATTAGCAAGGGTAATTTTGACACGTTAATGGTTTTTTATGTGTTTCGTTTGAATCAACAAATATTCATTTAGGTCAGTTTAATCAAACTATAATATTGAAACTAATGTATTTCACTTTATACGCATTAATATTTCCTTACATATATGCGAAAGGTAACTTATAACTGACTTACAAATCTTTATGCTTACATATCAACTGCTGCTTACTGAAACCAACCAAACTAAATATTACTTATTCATACTTATATATTGAAGTTTTGTTAACTTAGTCTGTCAATAATTCTAGGCAGTTTGAACAAAAATTTAAAAATTTTATGGGAATACTGTTACTACTGCTACAAAATTCAAGAATACAATTGAAATAGAAAAAAACTGAGTATTGCACAAAATCAAAACTTTACTCAAACTCTCCAGCTACAAAATTGGCAGGAACTAAGTAAAAGACAAGGATTCAACAACGAATGTGAATATTTTTTACCATGAACTTTGTTCAGTGTAATTCATTTTATTTCAAGTAGAAATGTTAATGGCTAGCAGTGGGACCCAGGATAAATCATTCGTTTTATTCAGCATTAATAAACAATATGGCCAGACACATAGTGCAAAGAAGAATCGAAATTCAACTCTGATCACCACCTACGGAACAACTCAGTACTTAACTAATTAAGGTATACATATATATATACATTTATATTTTGTTTTGATTAACTGTATAAAGATTGTATAAAATCGATTTCATTAGTGAATAGTAATTTATAATTAGCTGAATAATTACAGGAATATTAATGATTCACGGTTCAAAATTCTCTTCATTCATTATTTTATTTAGAAATTATAAAGTATTATAACGCATAGCTTTAAAGTGTATTCTATGATAAGTCATTTCTAGAGTTTTTCATAACATAATATTAACATCTTACTAAAAAACTTTATCGAATTCTCATCTGATTTTTAGGTCCATTAAAAAAAGAGAATATTTAAATACATAGTAATTGTATTTGTTATTTGCCTCAAGCGAAATCTAAATTAGATAATGTATGTTATTATTTTTCATAAATATATATATATATATATATATATATATATATATATATATATATCAACACTTTTTTAAATATAAACGAATTGTGACCTGATTACTAGCACTTAACCTTGTAGTAAAATAATAAACTAGTTGATTAGAAGAAAATAAGTTGATTTCAAATTCGAACGATCATTTTTTTACTTGACAAAACGGATAAACATTAGGGGGTTAGCGTTAAATTTCCAGTTGAACTATAAATAAATAAAACATCTTAAATTAATTTTTTACAATTAGGATAGGTTTTCCTCATTTTGAACTGAAAAAGAATTATTGTGTTAATTATTAACTCTTCAAGATGTTTGACCAAATGGTCAGTCGATGAGTTCATTGATAAATTCCACTCACCATAATTAGTAATCACTATAAAAGTTCATAGTGAGTGAACTATTCCGGTTGTTTAAATTTATTTAGTCTTACACACAAATATGTATTCTCATTAAGTGAAGAAAGATGTAAATTACCGACTTTTGTGATTGTGTTTCTCACTTCAAAAACATTAATTCTTCTCTGAAAATGATGATGATATCTCTAATAGTTAACATTCCTCACTTGTATTACATTGTCAATAGAACACCTGACATAATAGATCTCTGGGGCAGTTCATACTTGTTGAGGAGTCACTGTAACTGCACTGCTTAAAAACTGAAGTAACATTAAAGGATAAACTCCCAGCTTATGGACAGTTGCAATTTTTTATTGGAAACCTGATTTCTATTGAAATCAAAACTAATTTATTAACAAACTTTTTGACAATGTTAAATATTCAATACATTTTATTAAGATATCCTTGAGTTTCTAAACTTTTTGGTGAATAGGTTTCGATGAAATCGTAATTATTTAGACAATATATTCTTACATGTAATATATAAAAGCTTTTGCTCCAACTTAAAGTTTATATGTATGGTAAATATAGTAAACGATATAGCAGGATAAGATAAAAAATTATACTGATCATAATCGATTAGTTAAGAGGATTATCGATAACTAGTTTATTGCACGAAACCAAATTAATTTGAAGAGGTTTTCAATCAATCTTCAGTGAGCTGACGTTTCGTCACTTAGTTAAAATGCATTTTATCTCACAAATTTTCATGACAGGAATAAATATTTGTTGAAATTGATTTACTCAAAATCAATTTGTTCAATGTTCATATCGACATTTTTCTATCATTTCTTAAATGACCACGATGACAGTTTTCAAAACGTGAATTTCATATTTCGGGTTAATAATATTAATAATAACTTTTACTGAGTAACCGTTGTTACTGTTTAAGCAGTATCATGAAATTTTAACAATAATATGATTGGATTTTGACTTTCAGCCCAAGCTGAAATCAATTAAAAATATACTGTGAACTATCAGTTACGCGATATGCCAATTATTGTCCGAAACTTAAGTCAATGAAACCTACATGTGTGTATTAGCTTCGTGAAAACAAGTTTTCAAGATATTAAATGTTTGTTTTTCTGAAATCTTAAAAAAATTATCTAACTTAAACTAGTCTTCATTAACTCCTTTTGAACTAAAAGTGTATTAAATCTAAAATCTCACTATAAACAAGTTTAGTAAATTGTTTTTGTTTTTTTCAGGTCAATTAGATTACGTGAAATAGTTTCTTCTCAAATATTCGCAGTAAATTAGCATTCAACAATAAAAGATAACACGATCATAGAATAAATTGTACACATAAGAAAAGATATTATTATTTTATCAAAGCCTATTACACTAGATAAAATAAGAAAAGTTAAATATAAATTTGAAATGAATCAAATGTTAATAAGAACTTGAAACAAATTCAAAGACCAAAGGATAAAGAGCATAACCCTTTAATTATATCCGAAAATTCTCAACTTGTATCAAAGAATGTAAAAAGTGAATTTCGAATAAACTCTTTTATTTTTCATTAAAAAAGAAAAACTGTTTAATGTTTTGCTGCAAAGATATTTCTTCGGTTACAGACAAATTTTAGCTTCTAAAAAGTATTTTTTTATATTGTTTTTTGTTTAAAACTTAAGCATTCCAAAGGTCAAATCAATATTACTATCAGTGGTGTGTATTCTGTGTGACAATTTCATTTTTAGCTTTTCTTATTTGTTTGTTATCAATTCAAAAGATTATTAAGGCTTAGGTACACAAAGATTGAATATAAAACTAT